TCCATCTACATCTACATCTACATCTACATACTTAAGTAATCAAATTGAGTGAATACAAAAGAGGGCGCTAAAAATTATTTTTCCTTCTCTGTGCTACGAGGACGCGCTTAAGAAGTCAGGCTTAATTTTGCTGTGCCAGAGGAGGGAGGATGCGTGTATAACATTTCTCAAGCGAAGTTACTCTTCTTCCGACCTGCTACGAAGCTTAGTGCCGAGAGTTGCGAATACAAGATCGTATGCCCTTAGAACAGGAGAATCTGTTTTTGTGGCTGCCTCCGCAAGAAATAACAGATTTGGAAATTTTTGCACCATCAAATACCAGAATCTCGTTTAAAATAGCGAAATGTGATATGTCTTAACATTAACAGTTATATTTATGCGTCATAATTCCGATATATTTCTATGTAATTAATGACCCGCCTTGTAATTCAGTTTATGCTGCAAAAAGGTTGTATAAACGATCATTATTATTATTATTATTATTATTATTATTATTATTATTACATCTCTTATTTGCAAATGTTACAGACACATAACATACTACTTTAAAGACAACCGCTTTAAAATCAAAAAATATTTGGCCTAAGATGGGATAGTCTTCCTCGAAACTGTTAAAAAGAATCGGTCATCGTACAGTCATAAAATCATTAACTTAGGCGGCAAGTTACAGCCAATGTTAGAACAATAATATGTGTGCTCTAGTGTGCTCTATCGTCAAGCAATTGTGCTTGTCTCGTTAGAAAAACAGAGTACTATCAGAATTCATCTGAATGGACGTCACTTAGAACGCGTTCGAGCGCATAGTACCTTCGCTCTTCCAAAGAAAAACAAACACCGTTTCGGATGCACTTTTCCATTTTTAAATGAAAATAATAACGAGAAGAATATGATGATGATGACGATGATGACAATGATAAAAGAATAATAGTTATTTATACTTTCTACGGATCTTTATCATGACTTACTAATGTTAATGAAACATTTGGGACTAGAGAAGAAGTCCAGATAACAAGTTCCTTGGGGTACCGTAAATAACATTGTACAAGATAATTCTTTTGGTACACTGAAGGAAATTTGTATGATCGCTCCCATCATTTGAAAGTTGTGCTTACACCACATGAAAGTATTCTGACGTCGTGATTGTAGTTATAGTTATTCCAAATGGTCTAGATAAAAGCAGTGAGGAAAATAATTTTAAGAAAAACACGACACTCCTGAGTTTTACAGACATGTTTCGGCAGTTGCCTCTGCCATCTTCAGTGTGAAATGAACAACAAATTACAGTGAAATGTAAATGCTAAGACCATAACAATAGTAATACAAAATTAAACGGAAAGTTTTAAATCAACGTGTTTGACCTGTGCGTTGAGTGTAGGTTTTTCCCAAACTATGTGCAACGCCTCTTATGCTTTGCAAGGAGGTTGTAGCTTTGGAGAGTTGATGAAAATTAAAATTGTGACCATTCAAGCACAGGGTAAAAAGGCTATTCAGCCTAATGAAAAAATCTTAATAAAGTGTGACATTCAAGTAAAATCTGCTGAGAAATACTTTCTTGCGCCGATTTTTCTTTGTAATTCCAATAGTTTTTGCTAGGTTGCGTTCGAATGACCATATTTCGGAATATGAAAAAGCAGAATGGTTGTAAGATTTCTCATTTTAAGTAATTTTAAGTAAATCTGGGAAGACTTTCCTGCAAACTTTGGCTGTGGAAATTTTTAAGCCATTTAAAAAACATCTCATGAAGGATTTCGTGACATTATTGTATGTATTCCCCTTCCAGAATAGGGTCAACTGACCGAACGCACCCTAACATATTTCTGATTTCCTCTTAGTTTCACTTTTGAGACGGGTCTCAAACCACCCATTTAAATATAAAATTGTTTAAACACAAAACTAAAGGAAAGGGTCAGTTCTGGTACCTGGTGTAACAAGTACAAGCTGTCCTTTTACGAATCATAATTCCAGTTTGAGGAAAATTACAAAAAATTTTCCTTGCAATTTGGAGAAGTTCTGATTCGTTAGAAAGCACTTACCAGAGACATAAGGAAAGGAAACATAAGGAAAGGAAACGCCTGCCGCTGAGCCCGGACATTTTACCGAACGCCCCCAAATGGCTTCGCTCCCTTGGGGCCTACACTGTCACGTCAAATGTCACATGAGAACCAATCATTTTTAACTTCTGGTAAATCTCAGCGCCGGAAAAACAGAATCGCGGCGGGCAATTTGTTTACTTCAAGTTGCAGTATTTTAGAAGATTTTCTCGAACTTTACGTCGCTCGAACAAAGCATAGATAAAATTACCCAAGACGAATTTTACTAATGTTTTAGAATATCAACTCATTTGCTAATAGCTGGAATTACAGACAGAATGAGCTTGTCCCACATGGCTAAATACTTCCTCGCGTCTCCAGGATAAAATTGTATTTCGGGTAGCGTGAAACACAAAGTCGTTCTAAATATCGAAAACTTCCTTTTCAGACCGTGGTTAGAACTGAAATTTTCCTACAAAGTAGTTACTTGAGGCCTCCTCAACCTATTTATGATTACAAAGTTTGAATAAAAATTTCTTTGTTCGTATGCGAAACATGCTTTCAGACCAGCCAATTTTGCTTCCAATATGTTGTCGTGTCTTTGAGACCGCCGACAGCTAGAACAAATTTTCTTAAATTTTTAAAAATTCCGGCGGGATTTCGGAAAACGAATGACACCATGTTTGTTGAGACGATAATACCTACCAACAAACCAAAGCGCAATAGAAACTATATTTTGAGCGTGACCGAGAATTCTTGATTTTGCTTGATGTTAATCGACATTCGCTCTTAAAGCAGTCCTTTGCTCCAGTTTCAACTGAATTAACGTATCTCCCTGCGAAAGTAGTTTAGTCGTTTCCAAAGCAAAGCAAACTCGAAATCGAAAGGACACTCGAGAGAGTTCTTTTCCACCTCGGCCAGTATTTTCATCTTTGATAAACGGTTTACCGGATGTCGTTTTGGTCTATGAGTTTGATTGACAGACGATTGACCAATGGTAATACATCATTGCCTCCCGTTCGCTGACGAACGGCGTTCGGTAAAATGTCTGGGCTCAGCGGCAGGCGTTTCCTTTCCTTCCCCGCCCCTCCCCTCCGCTCCTACTTTTTTGCTCCTTTTTGCCCAATGCCCTCGCGCGCTTGCCCTGCTTGGCTTGAAGGAAACGGAAACGACTGCTACGCAGGCTATGCTGGTACCTAACATTCAACTGTTCGAAACAACTTCGCCTGACATATCTATTAAGCCAAAACATTTCAATTGATCACGTGATCACGCTGTATTGATTGGTCTCCTTCGGTTGTTAATTAGAGTGTAATTACGAAGGTATGCGTCTGATATAAGTACTATAAAGGAAATAAAGGGAGATGTAAAGAATCGACCATAAGAGAACACGGAGGGTCGTGGGTTCGAATCCCATCTGGAGCTGAGGTTTTTTCTGTGTCCTCTTATGGTCGACTCCTTACATCTCCCCTTTATTTCCTTTATAATTACGAAGGTAATAGCAAAATCTTTGTGACAGAACAAAGGTGTTATCTGTGGGTAACTGAGAACGTTGAAATGGTTTTCAAAGCGATAAGGCGGGACCAAAGGGGAGTGTCGTCCACTTTAAGTACAGTCTTGAGTGTCATTGTGAATTCCACTGAAGTTGAGATAATATTAGCAAGGCCTTATGCATGCATGTATTAAACTTTCCCATTAAAATTAGCAGTGGTAGTTAAAACGACAAAGTTTTGAAAAAAAAAAAAAAATGGATTTCTTGTCTTGTACAAAAAAGTCTAAAATTCTGCGCTCAAAAAAACTCTTTCTGTTTTGGCTGGATGACTGATGTTTAGATTTCTGTACTTTGCATTGAATGTAGTTCAGTGCTACGGATTGTAGGGTTGTCGTCGCTAGCTCCTTTCAAATTGTCGTTTCCAAGGTGAGGTGCGAGGCTCCAATAAGCTTTCTCAAAGCTCGCTTTCACTTCAGTGGGAGAGACCCGTTGGGGAATGGCAAATTTCAAGTCCCGAAACAGAACCCATTTCCAGAAAAAGGAAAACTCGTAAGACGACATGTTCTGTATATATTCGTCATCATCCGTTTCTTTGTAGAGTAACGCAAAGTACAGAAACCTCCCAAGACACTCCTGATTGCCCTCGAACAATTGAAGCGACGCGACGACATCGTCATCACCAAACCAGATATATATATAAAGGGTCGGGAGTAGTAGTGATGGACAAGTCTGAATATCTTCGACTAATTACCCAAGCATCCATCAATGATTCAAGTAAATTTCAGGCTGTTCCTCTAGAAAGACCTGCGAGTAAAGGCAGACCACCGAAACACTATCACCCACTTCTACAGAAGGAGAGGGATTTAGACTCTACCGTCCCCAGGATTCTGCCAAAGTCTATTGCAGATACTGTCCACCCTACAGGCTCCAGATTAGCGCACTTGGATGGTTTACCAAAAACACACAAGGAGCGCTTAGCTATATACCCTATACTACCAGCAACGCAAACATACAACTACGCCTTGGCAAAATGTCTCGACACAAAACGTAAGCCTCTGTCTCTGAATCGGTACACAGTAACTGACATATTTGAATTTATGAATGAAATTCTTAATTCAGAGATCGCGAACGGCGACATTTTGGTGTCGTACGACGTGTCTTCCTTGTTTACAAACGTACCCTTAGATAAAACAATAGAGATACTCGCGAATAGAGCTTTCACCAACAATTGGTTTAATACAACATACGACTTGAACCTAACCAGATCGGATCTTGTCGACCTCCTCAGTGCAGCCACCAAAGGACGACTGTTCCAGTTTAATGGCGCCCTGTACGAACAGACTGATGGCGTTGCTATGGGATCCCCTCTTGGTCCCTTATTAGCTAACGTTTTCATGTCCTCCATCGAAGAAAACCTTGAACGACAGGGCAAACTCCCTTCTTTCTACCGAAGGTATGTTGACGATACGCCGTCACCATCATGCCAAATAAAGTAAGCAACTAACTTCCTTTCATTTGGCGGAATGAAATGAAATTAAGATGCGATGGATATTTCCTCTTGAAGTGAAACTTAACGTTGTAAACAAACGAAAAAATCAGCAATCGAATAAAAGGACTGGTTATTCTCCAAAGAGGCGAGTATATTCATGTGATTTTGTTGACAAAACTTTGCTGTTTTTGCAAGATATTTTTTTCTTGTAGTGTTGACACTGCAACTTGTTTAACCTCAGAGCAGCCTTTTGAGCTCATTTTTCGGTCCATGTTCGTTATTTCCCTTGGAGTTTTATTTTCTAATCTCATCCCATTTTGATTCATTTAAAAAAATTGATTCTGAGCTACAATAGTCAGTCAAACAAACGTCTCCCAACATTGTATGGTTGGCATAAAACTACTGACAAGTTTTTCTCGCATATATTTCTAATTTTAGCATTTATTTCTGACAATCTTGACAGAGAACAAACAAAAACACTTAAAACAGTAGGATATAACCGCAAAGATTAAGATGTGTGAGTAATTTTCTCTGAAAGTCTTTTCAAAGAACGTTAAAAGCGAATGTAAAGTTAAAGTGTAATTTCATTTTCATCAAAACAAAGTTTACGCAAAACATTCATTCGCTTGTTTTTTGTGAATTTTTCAAAGACCGCTGTTTAGTTTATTTCTGTACTTATTGCTATGAATTATCACAGTGCTTTTTTCATTTATTACTCAAAGATATATTTGAAGTGTGTTTTTTGGTTAGGGTATCCATTTTCTCTGAGGTTTATAGCGTACGGCCTTCTTGATAAGCAAAATTTACTAGACAGTGACAGTGCCGGTAGCGCGCGTTGGCTGTTCACAAACCGTTTTGCCTCGATCATCTTAAAAACTAAAAACAATAATAAAAAAGGAAAATATCATTTTGAGTCCATTTAAATTCCGCTTTTATAACACAGAGGGCAAAATGTTCCTAAAACTATCAAGGAACTTCGTAAAACAGTCAGTAAAACCCTCATCGAATGTGCAAGCAAACCAACAAATTATTCAATTTTTTCGTAGCGTACAAAACAAACAAAACCGACGAGAACAGTTCCCATTATACACATGTAATTAAGAGAGAATACAAGTTTAATTCAGGAGCAAACTAACAACGATAAATCAAATGTTAGGCATCAATTAATTGTTCACCTGCGCTGTGAAGCTTCCTACGGCTTGGAAATTACACGAACATAGATCGATAAAAATAGCAAACGATGGATCCAAAGAAGGAACTTGCGGAGTAATTTCTTCCTGCTCCTTCCTCCCATCAAAAGGACACTTTCATGCTCGGTTATCGTTCGTTGAAAGCACTTGGACGCCATGACTGATTTCAGTTTCTCAACCAAACAAAATAAAATCAATCCGATCCAAGTCTTTAGCTTTTGACACAAATAATCCTTTGCTGTTTCTTGTGAGAGACACCAAAATTAACCTTTAGGAATTTCCTTCCTAGCTGCAGCACTTTATTTCCATGTATTTTTGGTAAAAAAAAAAAAAAACCCGGCTTAAAGAGTCGAACTTCGAAAGAACCTCAAAGAACTAGTTTTTTTGGACACAAAATGCAGAAACCAACAAAATGTAAAACTGTCGTGCTCAGCCAATCAGGAGCGAGTATTTTCGCCGATCGACCAATCAGGAGTAGGTAATTTTGCCCTCGGTGAAAGAAAAATTACGAAAAACTGCCCTCTGTTACAACAAATCAGCATTCAGTAATTTTGCCCTCTGTTTTACATTGTTATTGTTGATGAGCAGTTTGCTGCATATGCATTAAAAATGTACTATATAACTGCAGAATTGATGAGGAACTCATAAGGTTATTACGCTCATACAATAAGCAGACTTCTATTGTGGAGCTCCGCTTTTAGGCTTGGCTATATATATATATTAATAATAATAATAATAACAATTATAATAATAATAATAATAATAATAATAATAATTTTTAGGAGTGCATAGGGTTGTGTTTTAAAAGAGTTGGTTATTTTTAATAAAGATTATTTTCTATTAAAAAAATAATAATAAATAATAATAATAATAATAATAATAATAGTAATAAGCAGAAGGCAGAAGGCTACCATCTCGAGTTCTCTCAACATAGCTAGTGAGAACTTTCAAAGCTACCGTCAATTGACTTTCCTTTAGGGAATAGGGTAGAAGCTCCATATAGTTTTTGTATTAGAGAACTTTTATAGTTTATGAGATTTTTATATTTTATCGCTAATTTTTTTTTAACTCAGCAGTTTTCTTTTTATAGTTCCTTAAGATCGCATAGGTTACGCTGCGCGCCCTATGTGGTTCTATTTTAGCATACATACGTTTTTTAACTGCACATAATAATAATAATAATAATAATAATAATAATAATGATAATAATAATAATAATAATGATAATAATGATATAATTTTAGTACCCACTGCCAGCAGACATGAATAAAGTATATTTTACCACTAGGATAAGCAATTAATTTATTAATTTCTATAGCTTAGATATTGGTAATCTGCATGATTCAGAATCTCACCAGTTTGTAGTTTATTAATGCGACCCTCTCAACTAATACTGTTATCGACTGAGACCATTATTCTTTGTGCGCTTTTTAGTTTGGCTAACTGGGAGCTGGTCATATATACCCGTGGAGGATGAATGCTACTGTATGATAAAGGTCTAATAGCTGAAATACCATCGCACGTAACTTAATGAGTGCGAAAAGGAGCCTAAAAAGAACAGCAGTTAAAAAAAGTAAATAAATAAATAATAGGCTTGCAATCCTTCTTAATCAGCTCAATCACTTGACCTTGGAAATGGACAAACTGTTAGGAGAGCAACTGAAGCCTCGCCTCCCGCCTCTTTGAAGAAATTTAACTCGCTCACCATTCCTTGGCAGACGAAAGCTGCGATGTAGCGTCGGTCCTTATTGCTTACAAAGTTATCATTGACGAACATGACTTGTTTCCTTTAAACTAGCTATGATATGGGTTTGTCCTGTCACTGAAAATGTGCCCTTGAACTTGGTCGGCGTTGACAGCGGCAGCAAACGCTAAAGCAAACTGCATGGTAAAATGCCTATACCAAGAAACCGAGGGTAAACCTTGACGTGGGCCGACGTGTACGCTACCTACGTTTTGGCTGCAAGACCTATTTATACATTCTCAGCAATCCCAATTAACCAGATGTTTCAGTGGCAACTCATAGTAATCTTCATTTTTGCAGTCTGGATCCTCTAAAAATCAGAAAATTAACGGTTTCGTAAACTACATTGAAGAGATAATGTCCTGCACCATAAATGTTGCGGGAAGTATTCCTTGAGCCATTCGAATTGCACGGCAAGACTGTGTAGTGAGTGCCGAGCGTCCCCTTACGGATTGCATAAAGCACTCCTCAAAAAGTATTGTTTTTTGTGTCATTTTAAAAGTTCCTGTGCTTCCGACTGCATAAATTTGATGAAATTACAACACGTTTTATTGCTAAAGCGAATCATAATATCGGCTTGAAATTTTGCTTGAAGATTTGTCCTACTTATATGTTGAATCTGTTATATTTTTGATGGCCTTGTGACAGGAAAACCATCAATAGCATGTCTTTGCAATTCTATTGAACCACTGAGCTTTTTTCTGGCCTTTCCGATTCTTTCTAACCAAACATTTGCCAACTTACCGAAAGAAATATGGTTTTAGCAAATCAAAATTCTAAATTTTACAATCATCAAAATAGATGACATTTTTCTCAAACATTTCCTCGAACCCTTAAACTGTTGAGCACGGATTTATACGCATTTTGTCAATGCACAGGTTGTACCCTTTACGTCATGTGACGTGTTTGTGAAAAATCAGCCAGTGAGCATGTATTGAGATCGGAATACATATCCTAAACCGGAATGGATAAAATGCAGTCGGGTTTGTTGGGGGTAAAAGCTGAGGATATTTTCTCAGCAAAATAGGATGAAAATTTGGACCACCCTGCCACAACTTCTTTTTTGGCAAAAAACTTTAATGTTCTTCTGAAAATGCCAAGGTCTGGTGTGGGACGAACTGATGGAGGATCAAGCGATCCACAATTAAAGTGGCTCACAGGCTAGGACAACTCTTATTAAGTACCAGTTGCGAAGAATTATCCGGACAAGACAAGAGCGTTTTGTTTTGCCTTGTTTTAAAGAAATGCAGTCGTCTAGCTGAGAGATTGAACAAAATCAACCAGAATGAAATGTTTGGTTCTATTGGGTTAATAAAAAGCTTTCCTCGTAAATATTCTTATTCTGAATATTATTCTGACCGTAACGTTGTGCACTTCTCCTCACTTCATCGGATAGATGTGTGATTAAGGCAAGAGAGACATTTCAAGATCTTTATTGCATAACCAGGTCTCTTTATAATCCACACTCGAAACTTTCAATATAGGAAATTCCTTAAGTTAAGAATAGTTAGATCAAATTTTACCCCAATTAATAAGACGGAGAAGTATAGATAAGTGTGGAAATGACATCAATGGAAGGGCGATTTTCTAAATCACACATTCGTAAAAAGATGGTTTTCTCCAACATTCTTGACCTCAAACCTTAAACCTCTGAGCGTGGACGTAAACGAGTTTTGTTGTTTCGAAAGTCGTACTCATTTAATTTGTTACATTATTGGTTTGGCCTGGTGACACGTCTTTGACAACAAATCGGTAAGCACTGCAGGAACTGAGAACTACAAGACGGAATACCGATACATATAAGTAAAATCGAATCGCGTTTGTTGCGATATGGAATTATGCCCCAAGGTCAGCGACGTTTTCCCAGGACAATAGGAAAAAAACTTGGCCAACGCATTAATTCTTGTTCTGAGATATTAATGTCATTCTATGATTATTTTGCTCAGACATTCATCCCAGAATTTAACTGCTGAACCCTAAGTAAAGATCAGAATGATCTACAAACCTTGAAAAAAAAAATAAATAAAAAGGAAAATGGAGAATAGAATAAAATCAAATAAAGAAACAAGCTCATTCAAAACTTTTCATGCAAAATATACCAAGTCAGATTTTTTAAAAACAGACCGGTGAAAGTCGCCAGTAATAATAAGGTCCTGTTGTCTTTTTTCCTACTCTTTTTCTTCTTTCTCCTTTCTTCTCTCTTTCACATCATCAGGATTTCCTCTTGTAAATATTCATTATCCAAATCAGTTTACTTAGCGCTGCCTTTTTCCCCGGAATAGAAAACAGATTTTGGGAGTTTTCAAGACAATATTGGACAAAAGTGATTGGCGTCTGCGTGAAAGGTTTGGCCGTTTCAAGGTGTAAAGATTAGAAGTCGATTTATATGTGCCGTCCGTCTCGTTCTTACATCATCTATAACTTACCCAAAACATCACTGGATAGCGTCACCGGAGCTATTAAAACCGCGAAAATTACGAAAAGCCAAACGTTTATCATCAACATTTTTCCACCTTTAATCTTCAGTCTTAAAACGGATGGATCGAGTCCAAACTGTGTTTACTTTGATGAATGAAGACTAAAAATTACGTCTCCCACTTAGAATTTCTTATTAACCAACAGGTTTGGAATTTGCTTTTAGGCAGGGGTATCAAGTTCTCCCACGAATTTCCTTTGTTCTTACTTAAAAGCTTCAAATTGAAACCGCTCAAGCAAATCAAAAGGACGTAAAGATTTTTTCAATAAACGGTAAGTGGTCTCATTTAAACCAACTATGGTTCATTAAAGGTTTTTAATAAGGTGAGTCAATAATGTGAAAATTCCTGTTAATTTATGGGAAACATTTTCCTCCTTTTGCGGAACAGAATTCATTGCTTTTAGTACATTTAATTCAACTGTAAGTTGTAAAACTAAAAGCAGGTCTTTAAGCATGTATCAAACTTTCCCGTTAAATTTATTAGTGCCATTATTGCAATGAGAAAGGTTTGAGAAAGGATTATTTTTTAAGTACAGAAGAAGTCTGAAATTATCTGCTCTAAAAAGCTCTTTCTGCTCTTCCTGGATGACTGATAATTGGGTGTCTTATTCTGCACCAGAAACCTCCCTTCTTGGGTATCAAAAACCTCATTGAACGAAACCTCGTATAGGAGCATCAAATCAGTAGTTTGGCGAAAGAAGCCATTTCTTTGTGAAGACCTTTGATCAAACAAACGGAATTCATGATATTGCCGTTACCAAAACCCACGTATATTCTTTTAACTTTTAAACTGAAGGACATGATAAAGGATGAACACAAATCCTCTTGGATATTTTTTGTGTCCGAATTAATGACCATCAGTTAATAAGTCTACTACGGCCAGTTGTAAACATAAAATGAATTTTAATGTTATATTTTTGTTAAATGACATCCTGTGTATACTTTTACCCTTTCGTCGCAACATTTGACACACTAGATTTTCGGGAAATGTAGTATTAAAAGCGTTTTAAGAGATGGAATTGGTTCAAAGAGGAAACAGTGGCAAACTGAGTAAACACTAACATTTTATTTTCGCGCATGAATCCTTGTAGCCATTAATCTTTTAGGAATGGGGCCTTTTTTATTTCTTATTTTAAAGAGATCAGTTTCCTTTAGTTAACATTTGCACTCTAAATATACGGACATTTGAGTGAGAAAAATGTGTTATGGATAATTACTTTCACTACTCTTCGTTATATCCACGTTTTTGTATCACTGAAGCGAACAGCCGACGGGATATTTGCATTTAATTAAAGGGAAACTCTGAGAAATAAAAGTTATTAACAAGTGTGTGTGACTGTTATAGCTAGTCCCAAAATTTATTTTCAGAATTTCGTTTCGTGTGATTTAATGGTGAATTACCAGACTCTCCAACAACCGGTAACTTACCAGAATGCTGACTTCAAGGTGAACATTGCCAGAAATCGTGGACATTTCGCGCCCGTGATCAATTGTCAGCGGAATCTCATTTTTAAAATGGCGGACAAAAACTATCGTAGTCAGGGAAAGCGTATCCCTTGCGATTTTTTAAATAATTTGAGCTCTGTGGATCTGTTTTACGAAGAAAAAAGCTGGAATTAAACACCTTGCAAGAAAATGTTAGGTTTATACGCGGCCGAGCGGCTGATAGCAACAAAACAGTACGCGGATGTACCTTTCGTGACATTTTCGTGACAATTTTGTTTTAAAACCAAGCCTGGTAGGCTAATCGAGGATTTTTGAATGCCTGGAACCTAGTTTATATCCCGTGAAGCATCTCTGGAGTTGTAGCAACAAACAAAATGGCGATTCTGTGGGGTTTGGAGTTGTGAAGCTGTGTCCGACCGAAATGTGTCATTCGCAACCATGGCGTCCATTACTGGACTACAGATGGAAAACTGAGGGAAATAATGCGCCTTTGGAAGTATTTTGCAGTGCAAAAATCGTCCTTTTAACGACTGTTTTGGAAACATCTTCCATCGCAGAAGTGATATCGAGTCGGGCAAATTTACTTCAGTGAAGGGTTTATCCTCTAATCGACGAGTATTTCGCATGACTTCGGCAAGATTTTAAGACAATGTATGGAGAAATGGAGCGTACAACAAAGAATAAAAGTGGCCACGTCAGGAAGTAAGTAAACCTACTTCTAATTAGCTATTTTTAACCCAGATGCGAGGGTTACACAGCACTTAACATGTTTCGAGTCGGGCACCGAACACCCGTGAGCTCATAATCGATATATTTGAAAAAGTTTCCTTATCTCCATACATTTTCTCATACGAATTCGCAGCCATTGTGGCCTTAGTGCGCACGCGCAACCGCCATCTTGTCCCTAATTTCTGGCAATGACTACAGTGACAAGAACTGCAATGATTACTACGAGCCAAACATTTACTATTAACAATGTACCAGAATAGAATTGAAAAAAAAAAATTTCAAATGCAACAAGTCAACGTGTATTTTACTTATCACAATGAAAGCCTCGCTCTTTTGCATGTGGGAAGGGTATTATGTTCTTCCACAAGTTGTCTTTGAGGTCCGACTTTACCGGCGTGTTCAGCTGATGTGCAAATTCTTCGCACAACTGGTATTTCTTTTCAGTAGTGATTCGAGTTTGAATCAATGTATTTTTTTTTTGGCATTGCCTTATAATTTGTTTTAGGGTTCTTATGAAAACTTATAACTAATAACTATTTTCAATAGGTCAGTTTATTGGTAGTGTATCCTACTTGAATAGTTTTTGGGCTCAAACTTCAATTTGTCATTAACAGGATGACCGATCCCTTGATGCTCATTTTCTTTGGGATGTTATTTTCTGGGCGCCAAGAAATTTTTAACACTGTAGGCTTCTTTACATATTCTATTCGTGAAATGTAGTATTGGAAGCGTTTTAAGATATCGAATTCGTTCAAAGTGGAAACCGTGGCAAACAGTAAACACTAACATTTTATTTTCACGCTTGAATCCTTGTAGACATTAAGATTACATTATCTTTTCAGGATCGGGGTGTGTTTTTTATTTCCTGTTTTAAAGAGATCAGTTCCTTTAGTTAATATTTGCACTCTAAATATACGGAAATTTCAGTAAGAGAATAGTTTTGTAGGTAGTTACTTTCACTACTCCTGGCTATTTCCACTTCTTTGTATCAGTTTCACTGAAACGGACAGCCGACAGAATATTTGCGTTTAATTAAAGGGAAACTTAGAGAAAAGCAAAATGATTAACAAGTGCGTGAAAATGTCTTTTCAGAGTTTTAATGGTGAATAACTAGTGTCTCTTTCAACCGGTAACTTACTATAAAGCTGGCTTAAAGGTGCAAGAACTACAATAATTACTAAGAGCCAAACATTTACCATTAGCATTGAACCAGATAAGAACTGAAAGAACGTTTCTAAATGCAGCAAGTTGAATAGTATTTTACTTATCGCAAGAAAAGCCTCGCTCGATGCTTAGACAAGTTGCTTTTGCATGTGGGAAGGGTATCATGTTCTTCCACAAGTTGCCTATGATGTCCTGACTTACCGGCGTGTTGAACTAACGTTCAAATTCCTTGCACAACTAGTCTTTCTTTTTCAGTAGCGTTTCTACTTTGCATCAATGTATTATTTTTATTGCATTAAAATTTGTGTTGGTGTTGTTATGAAAACATAACTAATAACTATGAACCTTGCCAATAAGTCAGTTTACCAGTAGTATGTCCTAATTAAATAGTTTTTTTGGCTCAAACTTCAATTTGTAATTAAAACAAAATTTTTTGACCGATGCCTGAATGCTCGTGTTCGCTTGGAATGTTATTTTCTAAGCGCCAAGAAATTTTGAATACTGTTAGCTTCTTTCTTTATTCCATTCGCAGAATTAATGGAACCTGAATGTTTTTTTTCATAAAATGACTTTACAATGGCGAAAACCTAAAGAAAGCTAAATAAATAAACTCCTTTGCTTATACCAGTTGTAGGAATATTCTTACATACATTCAGGACACCATGTTTGTAAATCTCTATACTGCGGTCATTCAGTCGAGTTGTTTTACTGCCTGAGTAAGAAAGTGGCACCTTTTTAAATTGATTTAGTTTTGACGTGCGCTCGAGTGAAGAAAAGTATTACCCACTGTCCATAAAACGTTTTACTTTTTAAAAATTAATTGATCATGAGTTCCCAGGCCAAAAAAAAGAAAAAAAGAAACATAAAGTGGACTTGCCGTAGTTACAGAGCCGCATCACTGTACTTAACAAACTTGTAACTATAATGGGATAATTTGTGTTAACCTTATTATATTTAACAATTAGATGAATTTTTGTCAAAGTTTCAAAGTTTCAAGACAATATTTGGCAAAACTGATTGGCGTCTGCCTGTAAGGTTTGGCCATTGAAAAGTGCAATTGATCGATGAGAATTTTCTTTTTAAGTTCCGTCTCGTTCTTATATCATGTATAACTTACCCAAAACATCACTAGATAGCGTCACCGGAGCTATTAAAACTGCCAAAATTACGAAAGGCCAAACGTTCACCATCAACATTTTTGCAGCTTTGAGCGTCAGTCTCGAAATGGATTGATCGAATC